GTAAAAAAAAATTTTGCTCGAATTCATTTAAACACTCATAGCAAATAGAGCAAAAGACCGGCAGATTGGCGAAAACACGGGTAAAGCCGGGATGGCATTGCTGCGAAAAATTACAAAAACGGCCTCTGATAAACCCCTTCCCGATTCCCGTTCTGCATAATTCTTTCACTATTGTAATCACTGTTTACTTCTCTACAGGTTGACCGAAGCAAAACACTTAATCGCAAAGGTGAATCAGCAGAGCCGCCGCACTGTAGAACCCCGCCGCCGGTGAGTTTCGATTTTTCATTTTTTTCGGTCAACCGAGACCCCTTAACATATTTTCTCACATGGATTGATGCAAACCGGCCGAAAACAGTCGACAATTGAAATACAATCGTCCTCCTCCTTTGTGCCAAATAGTCTCAGTCTGAAAAACCATTAAAGCTGCATGTACCACCTACCCTACCATGTTACTTTTGTTCTTCTGTGTTTTTACATTGCTTATATTTTCTGTCTTTCAAGGGCTAAGGAGCTCTATATATATGTAATTTATCTTCCAACCCTTTAATGCAATGAATGAACCTTTCATCAGCGTTGAGAATTGTCCAGCTTTATAAATAACTCTAAAACAAAACAACTTTCTTAACTCATCCATCACTAACCCTTGCAATCATTCATCTCTTTTTTTTTTTTTTGTTTCAATTCCTATAGCTCAGAATTTAGTACTTTATTCCTTCAATAATCTTCTTCTTCTTCTTATCTTTTAGTGGATTATTAGTTGAAGTTTTTTTAGCTACATTATGCTAAAGTATTTTGTAATTAGACAAAAAAAAAAAGGAATTTTAGCGAAATTCAAATTAAAATGTGTTTTTAATATGTATACAACACATATGTATATTTTACAAATATTTAGGAATTGTTCTACTTTTAGAAAACAAAAACATACACATAAATTTCTAAAATTATCATCACTAAATTTATTACAGGCATATTCAATTCTTAAAATATTAAAAATTTACTAATATTTGATAATTTTAATTATATTAAAGTATTAAAATTTTATTATTTTAATGCTAATATGATATTTTGCATTTATGAAATAGATTTTCACAGTAAAAAATAATCTAAAATAACATTTATTTATTAAAAATAAATAATTATTACATTTTTTAATTATTTTAACATTTACAATTATTTGTAACAAATACAATAAATTATACTTTTAAATACAACATCATCTTTTACTGTTATTTCATCAAATATAATTTATTTTTATTAAAAAACTATTTCAACAATATTTTTACCACTTATAACACAGCCATGAACAATAGAAAATAATCATCTTTCAACTCATGGTTATCCAAAGAATAAGTTATTATCAATCTATAATAATAATAATAAAAAATTATATATATATATATAATTTTGAAAGTATTAGCATTGATTTTTTTTTTTTTTAAAGAGAGATTGGTGGGCTTATGGGTGTCGTAATGTGAGTGGGCACACCTAATAATTCCTCCCATTCCAACACGCTGAGTGTAAAAAACAAATAATAATACCTTTATTGAAATTGTAAAATTATATAAATAATTATATGACTGTTATCTTTGTTAAAGATTGCAACCATAATGATGATATTATTCGTGAATTAAATTTAATTATGACCACTATTATTATAATTTAAATTTAATTTAGCAATTACAATCATTCAATAAAAATATATATGAAAATAAATTAAATAAAAAATAAAAATTTTAATATACTATCAAATATTTGAATACATAATTGGCTGAATTAATATAATAACGTAACACTTGAACTATAATTTTATTATCAAATCTCATTCTCAAACCTCCAATTTCAATCTTACAAACTCTTATTTTGTAGAAGAAGATAAATATCTTTGACAACACAAACGTTTTAAAATTAAAAGAAACAAACGAATAGGAATTCCATAAGATCAATGCCAACCCATTTATAGCATGTTACAAATGGGTTTTTTTTTTTTTTAAAATAATAAAAATAATAGTCTAAGATTGGACAATAGGAAGAGAAAAGGGTCAAAGCCATCGTATTACAAGTCGAAAGCCGCCAATGTTGATGAATAAAAAAGCCCACATGTAAACTGGTTGATTTATTTATTATTTTCTAGAATGTGATGGATTGCAAATTGCTATATTAAATGTCTGAAAAGTTGAAGGTGTTAATTAATGTGTAATAAATAACTTATGCCCACTGAAAACAGTTTTATTTATGTTGTTTTATTCAATTTTGTCATGCCATAAATCCAAAAAATAAGTATCTAAACAATAAAAAAGAGAGAATAGAAGAAGGTACAGGATTTTTTATTAGTGATTTGATCAGAAATTATATAATAAATGGAGGTTTGGGTCATTTGCTTAATTTAAAGAATAATTGGAATTGGGTTATAATGGTCATGTAGTTTATTATAGTTCGGCACAATAGGCCCACAAGCATTCCGATCCACTCCAAAAGCACTTTATCTTGTTTGTACATCACTTTTTTTTTTTTTACAATGTAGTCCATATTATTTTTCACATAAGCATTTCATTTTTCTTAAAAAAGGAAAAAACAAAGAATAAAAGCCATCTTTCGAAGGCCAAAC